CACAATCGAAGTTTGGCACATCCACAGCTTCTTCATTGTTTATCCATGTTTCCGACAATAATAAAATATTCGCTCGTTGGGCTACTGTGTCCGTCAAGTCTACTGCGTGAGCCCGATACTGGAATTACAGCTCAACGAGCGCAAAGAAGTTTCATTTCTAAAATTTTTCTTTAAAATTTTATAAACTTAATATTTTTAGCTTTATGTACATACCTTTGGCGTAAAAATAGTGACTCGAAATTATCTTTACGATTTGGTTGCATGGTGTGATTATGTAATAAAACACCATATTCTAGAGCAAGTTTTTAACTATGTTGATTTGGGAGTTAATATTGACCCTAAGCTTAATTTCAGTCTTCATATTGATACCATGGTCTTGAAAGCAAAAGCTGTCCGCAGTTTTGTTAAACGTTGGTCTAAAGAATTTAGAGATCCGTATATTACTAAAACACTTTATACAACTTTGGTTAGACCTATATTGGAATATGGCTCTGTGGTATGGAACCCTAGCTACCAAATCCATTCTGACAAGTTAGAGTCGGTTCAAAAACAATTTTTACTTTTCGCCTTAGCGCATTTCCGATGGGATGCTAGGGTAAGTCTACCTCCATACACTTGTCGTTTAAAACTTATTAATCTACCTACACTTTCTAGTCGTAGGGAAATGCTTGGCATAATATTCTTAGTGAAACTTTTGAATGGAACTGTTTGCAGTTCTTTTCTCCTGTCTGAAATTAAATTTAATATCCCGGTTCGCCTTTCGAGGCAGTTTAGACCTTTACTGCTAAAATCCTGTAGATCAAATTTTGAACTAAACGAGCCATTCCGCCGTATATGTCATGATTTTAATTCTCATTCCAGCACATTTGACTTATCTGACTCACTTTTCAAAATTAAAAAGACTTTATTGTTTTCTCTTAATAAATGAAAATGTAACAATTTATTATATTGTAACTTTAGATCTTAGCTGTTGAAATTTTTGTTTCTGTAGCTGAGCAGTTTTAGATCTCAACACTTAAAAAACTCTCTTGCCTTTTCTGACTCGGCTAATTCCGCACGTATGCGGATTGCGCCCCTCGCGTCGGTTGGGCGGGAGGAGGGTAATCGTTGGGTTATTAATAAAAATGAGCAGCAAAATTTGCGTAATTTGGATGAAGAGCTAAATTATTTAGAAAACTACCTTTTGGCCATCTGATATTATAACGAGTTTGAAACAAAGATTTGCATATTTTAAAACATATATCAAAGAAAAATGGTCTAAAGCTTAAAGAAAAAAAGTGTTTTCCTTAAAACTATTGAGAATTGGTTAAGCGGAACGCTCAAACTTTCGACAAATAGAGTAGTGAGAGGATTAAACGAAGGAGAACTGAAGAAATGCGTTCTACTTTGAGGTACTTTTTGTGAGGACGCCATAGCTCACGCAGCAAACACCACACTACAGGCTGAAGAAAAAAAGGAACGCTTCGAAAATACTTTGATAAAGTAAGATTTCTCCAACACGTGCAGGGAAATACAAAAAAGTTTACAAAATAACAGAATCAAATCGAGAAATTTCTTTTACATTTGGCGTACATATTACCCGTAAAAAGTATAGACAAAAGAGATCGAAATAAGAAAAGAGTTAGAAGCACAAACAAAAAGATATATTCAAGAAAGATTTCAAACGTAATTGTTGGTAGACATTCTGAAAGCTAATTTTGGCAATAGCCGAAATTGGTTGCAGACATAACAAAAAGATCTCATCTACTGAAAGCTAATTTTGGCAATAGCCGAAATTGGCTGCAGACATAACAAAAAGATCTCATCTATGGATTAAAAGTTATATTGGAAACTATTTCAAGTGCACATAAAATAGACACACAAAAATTTGATGAGTATGCTATGGCTAATGCCAGATGGTATTGTGATCTCTACGGGTGAAAATATCCAAAAGTGTGGACAATGGTGAAAATTCATGTGGCACGAATTGAATAAAAGATAAATGGAAAACTAAAATAATACTTGTGAAATTTTGCTTCAAAGACACAAAAGAAAGAAAATCAGTTGTGCATCAACTGGCGTTGAAAAGTGGATTTATTTTAAGAATCGTAAATGGAGAAAATCATGGGTTAATCCGACAATGCAGCTGCACACAAACCAAAATCGGTTCAGGATAAAATCAAAGACTTGGCCCCTTCCGATTTCCATTTGTTTTCATCTATGGGACACGCGATGGCTGAGCAGCACTTCGATTCATGGGTAGAAGTAGTGCTTCAAAAGACGAACATTTCTATTGGCATAGTAAGGTGGTCAAAATATGTAAAAAGCAATGGTCAATACTTTGAATACATTTGTTTTTACTTTCCAATTCAAAATTAGTATTTAATTTTCACAAAAAAACGATCTTTTTATACCAGTAAACCTGTTATATAAAAAAAATATGGTAAAATTTTTATACCAGTACACCTGTTATATAATAAAAATATGGTAAAAATTTTAATTTTTGTTAAGTTATTTGTATTTTTTTTAATGAAATATGCTTGAACAACAATACTAGATGGTATAATCATATAGTCAAAAAAATCAAAATACTCTGTCAAATTTTATATAAACTTTAACATTATAATATAAAAAAAATATAGAAACTTGACATGCAAAAGTTGTTGCGATTCGTGGTGCTGACAATAGTTTTTTAGCCCTATATTTCCTCATTTAAAATAAATGTGATTTTATTTGCGTCAGAAAATTTTTACAAATATCCATATTCAGTATTAGATAATATAGCAGGTTTTCGAAAACGAACCAATCCCTTCTGATGAAGATACCGAGGATATTGCAGACATAGATGATAATGGATAATGTGAAGCAGATATAGTTTTTAATTGTGCAGAATTTTGTTTAAAAATTGTTGTTGAAAGTGCCGAAATTAATCAAATTCGAATAAATTTTTAATAAAAAATAACTATTTTCAAACAATTCATTAACACAAAAAAAAACAGTAAACGTCTCTTTAATACGTGTATATTACATCATGCTGATCGTTCATCCCACCGTGCCTTATGAGTTGCACGGTGTGTATGTGTTAATTTCAGCGGCAAATTTTTCAATGAATTGGAGTTGTACTTAAAATATCATATTCTTGAAGTCGCATATAATAATTTCATTACAAAGAGATTTTAGATATACTTGTAGTATGTATATACATACCGAGTGTTTTCGTCAAATAGTGGGAAAAAATAGTCGATTGCGCGTAAAGTGCCGACTAGAGTTGAAAGGGCGGAAAAATGAATAATTGTGCGTATTTTTCCATGACTGATTTAAAGTGCAGATTTGAAATTCTTTAGAAAATTTAAGCAATTGACTGTTTATGGTCCCATATTTTATAGAGCTTTTGCATGGGCTGGGATCAATTAAACAGATTATGCTGATCCACTAGTACCCTACGATAAAAATGGCTCTAAAGTCAATAAGTGAATAGAAGGAACTGGTAAACAGAGTATAATATTATATTTTAGTTTACCAAACTCATCATCCGATCAATTTGTATCAAATTTGGTGCATTCATCTTTAAATCATTCTATACGTTCTTCTTATCCCATCCAATTATTTCGAGTATTTTGGGATGAAGAATATATGGGTTATTGATTTTTCCATTTTCTATACCTGGTATATGAATTACTCCTTTTAGATCTTTAATAAAGAAAGATATATAAATAAGTATAATTATATCAGGACGACAAGACGAGTTAAATTCCTAGTGACTGTTGCCCGTCCGACAATCTGTGTAAAAGATAACTTGAGTAAAAATTGCGAAATCGATGAAATTTGGTGCACGCGTTCCTTGATCCCTTAAAGAAGTTGGTATTGCAGATGGACGGAATTAGACCATTGTCATGTTCACAAAACTATAAAGGGCTATAACTAAGCCACATATCACAGTACAAAGCTGTAATTTGTTGCCAGGCAGCTTAAAAGTCTTTAACCTTTAACTACTAAGTTTAATGTATATATCTCATGTACAGTTATGTTGAAAACTACTGAAAGTGCGCTAATTAACGAAATAAACATGTCAGAAGTACTAAATTTTATAGTATAAATGGTACAAAAATTAAATAGTTTGAACCATTTGAAGCATCATATAACCGTTGCATTATATTTTTACAGTAAGAAAATGGATGAAATCGAACTACAACCACGTCTACTACACATATAACACAATTTACATCTGATTGTTTCACCTCACAGTATATAAATTAAGAACCAAATAGGATATGGAAAAAGGCTTGTACAAATAGTGAATTCATACCATGTCATCTCACATCGAAAAATAGTCGAAATCAATTTTTCGCAAAAATATCTATCTGTGAGATTTCTTAATGAAATTCAGAAAGCATCATTTTCTGGTAATAATATTTTCTGATGGAAATATGGATTCTGAAAAATGGATAAAATCGGATCTATAGTTCCCTTAGCCTCCAGTTTACAGTTGACCTTAATAAGAGCGATATTAAAATAAAGTTGAGTGGATATGTTTTCTTGAATATAATGTGGTTTAGTATTGAATATGAATTAAATCGGATATCGGTCCACAGCTCTAATATTATGAATATAGAAATTTTTCGAATATATTGATTTAAATATATGCTTAAACTTAAAAATATCTTTATAATAATTTTTAAATAAAAGCTGAGTAATATCGGAATTCGATACAGTCACAAGTCTCTAATATTGAGATTTTAATTTAGAGACAATTTTTTGTGACTAGAAACGATTTTGCAATTCAGTACATGACAGTCACCAAAAATTTGCAAATCTTTCAAGTAAGAACGAACGTGTCGATAACAAATATTAAATTTTCTTTAACACAGCCAAAAAATATAATTATCAATAAAAATGAAATGTTGACTTTGAATCACAAAGGTTACGAAATTTATTTTAAAGTGATTTTTTAACTTATACATTATTGAGTTGTTTACAATATAAAAACCGATAATCGATTAATATCTATAATGATTTAAATAAATGAATAAATTTTTTCTGTTATTTTTACTTATCCGTATATAATTAAATGTTATATTTGCAAAATCATTACGCACTACAAAGGAGCGGATAAAATGCTCACTAGCATTCCTAGAGATCCATCCCGAGACCCAAAATTAAGAGGTGTGGATAGAGCTTTCTTAACCTGCCAAATGGAAGGAAGTAAATCTTTATATGATATACTACAATACATATATACTTGTACTACATAAAGATATTTTTATTGTAACAAATATTTTGCTTATTCTTACAGCGTTTAAACCATTGGAAAAACCAAATACGGTCGAGAGTAAGAAAAGTTAAAGTGGACAGAATCCTGATAGGTGGAGGTGCCCTGCAGCAAACGGAAACGTTGAATTTGGAAGAGCGAGCAATGGAAACGTTTGGAAGGACCGTGGTAGATGGAGTGTCTGATGTAAATAAGATGTTTGCGCATAGTATGTTTATACTTATACCTATTTATTAGGTAGAAGTCTTTGTAAAAAATATGTTATTTTTTATAAGTAAATCAAATCTAACGATGTTTTATTTTTTACATTTAGAATGAATCTTATATCTGTCCGGATAGGCCAGCAGTTGTTGTTAATGAGATGCCATCAACCTCTCGTGGCCGAAAGCCGAAATATGAAGGAATGTTTACAGAGATGATGGCTGCGATGAAGAAGATGAGCAACGGGGAAAAATTTATAGAAATCCCTTAATGTTTCCAGAATGTTGCTGATTCTATAAATAACAATTTTAAAATTATCAGAGGCAGTTTAAAAAAAAAAAATTAAGTATTACAATAAATTAATTAATTTTTATTTATTGTGGTGTATTATTGGATTGTGCAAACTGTAGAGTTATCATTGAAATAAAAGTCTTCAATCTTCTCAATGCCGTTTTCATCGAAGTCACAAATACCATGTTATGTGTGATATTTCTACATATGCTAGACTGGCTAATGGCAGATAAATGGCTATTTCGAAGCAGTTTGGTATGACTAATTTGCTAAAAAATATAATACTGAAACAAACTAGAAATAGTACACCAATATTTAGTAAAATTATTCTTCATTTAAATGCATGAACACTCACCCGAATCTCGAAAAGAGTAGCTGTTTTCCAGAAATTACTATCGTGGGATCTTGTATAAGTGCCCAACACAGTGATTTTGGAAAGCCTAAGTATATCCTAAATATTGTTTCCTCTATTAAAAATGGATCTTCTTTCCTTAGGAGAGAAATTAATAATATTGGGTTGTTTATTGCTTTTATGCGACGTGAATTGGATAATGTTTTTTGGGTACGCTGATATTTGCAAAAAAATGTGGTCCACAAGGCACTATGGCGATTTCTGCAGGTTTTATGATAAAAACTATGGGAACAAATGGATTTAACAAAAAACATTCACCGGGTGGCAGGTGAAGGATTTCGTCAAAACAGCCAATGTGTTAAGAGAGGTCAGCAAAAATGCAGAACGCGGGAACACTGTTGGAACCAAAACGAAATTATTCTATTATTTATTATATAAAGTTTCCACCAAATTTTCAAGGTCATAACGAATATATAGCCATTGGCGGATATTTGCGCGGAGCATATGGAGTGAAAGAATCATGATATATTTATTTAAGTTTTTGTCATTTACAAAAATAAGAACGAATTCGCAATGAATATTTTTATAATTTACCATAGTATTATTCAATCAAATAACGCTCTTCAACTCTTATATGCCGACTTTAAAATAATAATTCAAAATACATATTAGCTTATCGCTTAAATCAATGCATTCTTGAACACTTTTTTGGAAACATAAGAAAAAATGGCGATCTTCACGACCATACTGACTAATAGGAATTTAAATATCGTCTTCGTTCGTTTCTTTTGGGTCACAACGAAGCCGCTTTAACCGATTGCAGCAATGTTGAATCCGACGATACATCCGAATTAAAAAAGACACTGTTACCTCCTACTGGTGTGTATAAGCTTCAGATAAGTTGTTATCAGCAAGTATGTATGACTTCATTTATTTATTTATATTGGGTGCGATACATTTGTAAAAAATTAAAAACTGAAGTGGTTGAATTTAAGAAAGATCAGAAGTATACATGAGTTAATCACGTAAGCGAGGACGGGTTGGTAAAACCAATTGAAACAAGTAAGGAAGGACCAAGTTCGGGGGTAACCGAACATTTTATACTCTTACAACTTGCAATGATTAAAGCCCGGGAAATTCCTTCAGATACTGGCAAAACTACATAATTAAAAATGTTAAGAAAGAATTAAACATTCATCATTCAATGAAATCGTAAATAAATTACAATAAAATTTAATATGGTAACCCTATGGCGGGCCAGAAAGGTCGCACTGATAATGCGTGCAAAGTTTTTTCATGTCATTCAAATTTAAATGTGCCTAAAATTGTGATTTGTATAATTTGTGAAAATGTGTATCATGAAGGTGATTTCAATAAATATTCAAAGGGACATTATGTTGGTGAAATGCTTGTAATTTGTCCGAAACATGCACATGAAGATCTAACCTCAAAAAAACAGCTTGATGTAAACATACTGGATGAAAACACCAGAAAAATAATCACGCAAAAAAAACTCTACCAAAAAGAGGAATTACATAATGATCTATGCCACCACTTAACACTCAATACATCAAAAAATATTGCAGATGTATCAGCTCTAAAAATGGAAAATGAACTACTAAGACAGTTAAATTCAGAGCTACAGGAACGAAATAAATTACTGAACAACCTGGTGGAAAAAGGGAATTTATTAAGTGATGTAAGAATTTCATATGCTGACATTGCTAAACGACATACTAATATTAATGAAAGAGTACCTAAAATAATAGTAAAAGCTAAAAATAATGATAATGGTGAAACTCTGGAGAAAGTAAAAATGAAATTAACAATATCTAACAATACCAATCAGCAACGTTCGAAAAAATAACGACGGGTTTGTTTCTGTTAAATGTAAAAACACAAATGATATACAATAAGTTAAATCGGTCTAAAGTGAAAAACTGGGTGTGATTATTGTGTTGACTTGGAGCATCTTAATTTTCCTAAAATAAAAGTTACTAATGTGACAAATGAATTAAACAAAGAAGAATTATGCGAGGATATATGTAATAGGAATTTCCTAGATATTGATAGAGCTTTCAACATCATCGCGGGCTACAGGAACAAAGCTGGAATCCGATCATTGATACTGGAGCTGAGTCATACCTACATCTAAAAAAATGCGGATTTAAATTATACATTGGCTCTCAATGCTGCCAAGTATATGATTTTTTTAATTTTAATTTATGCTATAAATGCGGAAGATCAAACCACAAACACAAAAATTGTAAGAATGAGGTCAAATGTCTTAGGTGTGCTGGTGATCATTTAACTATTACCTGTAAAAGTACTGCGTGTACTATAATGAAAAATATCGGGAAAATCGCCCAACTAATCATTGTGCTATGGATACATGTTGTGAATATATCTTTAATATTCTAAATAAAATAATAAACAATACTGGTTATCCGGTGAAACCATCGATACCAAAGTCACTAGGTAAAATTGGAAATTGGTCTTTACAAAAAAACCTATAATTGATAAAGAAGAAATCCAGATTGAAGAAATTTATACTGATTTATATAATTTAAATAATACGTTATCTAGTAACAATTTCTTGATGGTTCCATTAAATGTTAGAAGTCTAAATACAAATTTCAACAAATTAGAGTTATTTATTGAACATCTTGTAATAAACCAGATATTATTGCCTGTAAGGAGACTTGGCAGCTTACTTGTTATACTTTTTTTGAAATGAATGATTATAATATTTTCTATAATAGTAGCAATAATAATAGAGCTGATGGCGTTGTAATTTATTATATATTAAAAAATCTTTAAAACATGATGTTGAGATAGATGTAATTGATAACGTGAAAATTATCTCAACGATAATAAACTTGAAAGGTAATAAAAATGTTAAAATATCGGGTTTATATAGATGTCATGATATTCCTAAAGAAAACTTTATAGATGAAATAACTAAATTTTTAGACGAAAACAAGCATGGGAACAATCATTTTCTAGTTGGGGATTTTAACATCAATTTATTAAATTCTGATATTGCTACAAATGAATATTTAAATAATCTATTAGATCGTGTCTATTTACCATATTTCAATGGTGTAACCAGACCTAATGACTTAGGGGGTACTTGTATCGAAAAATTTGTTGTTAAATTAAATATTGAGAAAATCAGATCCTTTACTTATGCTAATGTTTTTACAGATCATTATCCTATTTTTGTTGCTCTTGATTTGTTCCCTATAAAGTCTCTGCTTAATGAAACCTATTTCATTAACCACAATCTTATAAAAATAAATAGTAGCTTATATGATTGGTCTCATATGCTCGATATAGAAGATCCAGAAGTTTTCTTTAAGCTTCTAATTGAAAATATAAAGAATATTATTGATGTTTCAAGATCCAAAGTAAATAAAACTAAGAACAATAACAAACCTAGGAGTAAATGGATAACTAAAGGTATTAAAAAATCATGTAAAACAAAAGAAACTTTATACACACTGTGGAACGTGGATAGAAATAATGTAAAACTAAAATCTGAATATAACGCGTACTGTAAAATACTAAAGAGAGTTATAACACTTGCCAAAAATAACTACGAAAGTAAATATGTTAAAAAAATATCCAAAGATAGTAAAAAAATGTGGCAATACGTTAACACGAAAATAGGTAAAACAAGTAAGGAAGGGCTAAGTTCGGATGTAACCGAACATTTTATACTCTCGCAAAGTCAAATGGTATACTCGTTTGAGATTTCTTTGTGGATTGACTGATATTTTCGGTAGAAGGACAACTATAGGCACTGGGGTCCACATATTTAGTACTTAGGGGTTTGAACAGTTTTGGTTCGATTTAGACAATTTTTGGCCACATGGTGGCATACTTTAATCGCATTATTCACGCAAAGTTTTATCCCGATACAGTCATTGTTGCCTGATTTGCATAGTGGAAAGTGAAAGAATCAGATGAAGTTGAAAATGGTGTTATATGCGAAATAGGCGTGGTTGATTTCGCCCATTTTCGCACTATGACATAGAAATATGAAAAGAACGTCATGCACCGAATTTGGTTGAAATCGGTTAAGCAGATCTCAAGATATGGGTTTTCACCTAAAGGTGGGCTGTGCCACGCCCACTGTCCAATTTTGAACGCGGTTCCTATAAAGTCATCTCATACCATCCCAGAGATAAAATTTAATGTCTCTGGCGTGTTTAGTGCTTGATTTATCGCGCTTTTAGTAGTTTTTAACGGTACCGTTATATGGGGAGTGGGCGGCGTTGCCACCCGATTTCACCCATTTTCACACTGTAGGTAGAGGTTCTAACATTTGCTCCCAGTGACTTTTGTTATTATAGCATTAGCGGTTTAGGAGATATGCACATTAAACCTATTAGAGGCGGGACCACGCCCGCTTTAAAAAAAAAAATTTAACTACAGATGCCCCCACCTAATGTAATCCTGTGTACCAAATAACAGTATTGTATCTTATTGGGGAGCTTAGTTATACCAATTTATTTGTTTTTGATTAATGGCGATTTGTGGGCGTGGCAGTGGTCCGATTACGCCATCTCAATACCAACTGTCTCACGGTAGCAAGAAACATGTCTACCAAGTTTCATAAAGATATCTCGATTTTTACTCAAGTTAGAGCTTGCACGGACGGACGGACAGACGGACGGACGGACAGTCACCCGGATTTCAACTCGTCTCTTCATGCTGATCATTTATATATATATAACCCTATATCT